GGCAACATACATGCGACGCATGCGTAATAGCAACCTGGAGATTAGGATTGCGGGCTCCTCTTGTCGCCCGCAATTATTCTATCATTGAAAGTATTAAAGTCAACTCTTTCCAGTACGGACGCCTTTGGGACTGGCACTACGTGTCTGTTTTCGATCGATGTCCGTCCTATTGAGAGTCAACTAAAAGGAGTAATTGACTTTGGGACCAGCTCTAGGTGACCGTCTTGTATATGTCAATAGGCCACTTCCGAGTTCCAGAAACCCTCACTTTCAAAATGAGGCTAGGTGCACAACCTTTCTTGTGAAAATGAGTTTTATTTGCACGAGAATGAAAAATGATTTCCATATCAAAGGCTGAGCACCTACCCTCGTTTCGAAACAGAGGCCCGGGAGAACTCGGAAATGGCCTATTGCCTGGAAGGGTATGGTTCCCAAACCGTGTCATGATGTCTGCACCACATTTTGTGCCTGTTAGAAGTCAAAGTACTCCGTAAGAAGTCGTCACGTCACGTTGCCGTGGTAGCAAAATTTCTGGATATCAGCAAACCGTGGTCCTGCAAATATGGCTGAAAAAATGAAAAAATTGACGTGTGACTTTCCTATGCATGAATGCACTCGAAAACAAAACGTTAGCCCATTCTTTTCTTCAATCCTTCGACGGTGCAAAATGCCGTCTCCGTCAAGAAATATTGTTGAGATCCAGAATGTTGCTACCATGGTAACGTTACGCCACACTTGTCGTCTCTATAACCGCCCTTCATATGTTGTTGAGTTGCTAATGTAAATCATGCTTCAGTCCGGAAAAGAAAAAAACAATCAGCGAGGTTTGTACTAGAAAAGCACAGCTGCATACCACTGCAAACTGATCGCTCAGTTTGGATTAAAAAGGATGACTTAAAATTCATGATCTTTTTCTTTAACGAGCGAACAGGTGGGATAGTCATGACAACTCTTAAAACCATTTTATTAGGGTCAAAATGTCACTTTTTCGGTCAACAACGACTCGTTATGACTGAGGGCTGCTATAAGGTTTAACTCCTTAGCATAACATTCTAGTTTTATTGTCGAGAAAGTAACGAACAGATAACATATTTGTTAGCTCCATCTACTACGCACGTGTCATCAACGCACGTGTCACCATCAACAACAAAAAAACGAATTCAAGCGCCGGAGTGTCGTAAACCTTATCCTGCGAGCAGAGGCTACATTTTCTCGGTATGAGCTGGCGTGCGAAAAGTAGCTACTTTTCGCACGCCAGCTCATACCGCGAAAATGTACTGCCTCTGCTCGCAGGGTATGTAAAGCTAGTTTCAAAAATCAGTATGAAGAGACTGGTGTACCTTTCATGGCGAACGTGATCCTGTTTACTTCAATCATTTTAAAAACTGAACTAAATCTAAATCATATTTACTGTTTTCCAAATGTACTGTGAGTGAAACGCTCAAATCATGATAAGTTTGCACTAACACGCAACTGCACTAGAAGTTCTTAGTAAAAATTAAATAAACCTAACTTTAGAATCGAAGTTGTAACACTCTCCGCATACTTCTCGTGTACTTGTTTCAGATTAGTCGTCTTTTGAAGGTATATTAAAATCTGCGTACGTTTAATTCCGTAAAATACACTGCGCACAAACATGTTTGTGATGATGGGCAGCAAAAACCAGTAAAAATATGGTTCCAATAGCCTTTGCCTTTTTGCGCAGGTATCCGATTTATAAAAGATGTAAACACCAAATGATACAAGGGCAAATACACCAAAAATATTATCTTTTTACAAAACGCCAGTGGAAAGCCGAGGTCAAGATTCTAGGAGTATCACTTCTTTGTATATTTTACAATATGTAGAATTGTTTAATCTCATTTTCCTTCGATAAAGGAAAAGTATCCATATGATGGTTGTTCGTTCCCATTTTAATACTGTCTTGTCTTTCGTGGTTAATTTTATGTCCATTCAAATGATATCCATTCCTTCCTTGTGCCTTCACTAGATTTGTAAGCCTTTCAACCTCGTTGGCCAAAGTTTCAATTATTTTTTTGTACTTTTTTCGCTCTTTTCCTATTGTTGTCGTAAGTTCTTCGACTTTACGTTGTAGATCTTCGTTTTGCTTTCGTTCGCTGTCGATTTGCAGATGTAGTTCGCCGATCTTCATTTCAAGTTCCCGCATTTCCCAGGCAGAATCAGATCCAGGCTGTCGGACCGGTTCCTGCTTTACAACTTTGGTTTCTTTGGCCATCAGTTGCTGCTTTAACTGCAAAGAGAAAAAAAAGGCTCTTAATTCAGCTCCTTTAAAATACTGTGGCGAAAACAATATCTCACTATATAGAAACCTAGTGGAACAAACGTTTCCCAATTCACTGAGTATTGTAGAACTACATCACGATAGCACTGATATAACACACCCCATGACACAAAGTCTAGTCTCCTGTGCAGCCGTTATTTCAGTCAGTGTCTAGCCATACAATCCTCCTCCTAAAAAATTTCTCGCTCCACTAAAACAGTCAACCCTTATAATCTCTCGAAAACCTTAATTAAATAACTCTCAATTCGATGGACTATCACTGAATTAATCTAGCGATAATAAAACCAAATCCACATAGGTCCTCTCTTCACAAATTTGCAAGAATTACAGTAGTCAATCCAGATCCTATGCGTAACAACGCAATCACCTTCGAACTTAGTTCCGCAAAGAATGAACTGAACTTGAAACGATTGTACACTTCTTGACAAGGTGGCAAATACACATTTCAATTAAGGGAAGGTTATTTATCTAGATCACCACACGAAACGCAGTCGAGTAGTTTTAACCTCAAATAAAACACAATAATCATCAAGTGATCATTAATGAAATCCTTTTCTTAAGCTATCGCTGGGGTTTATTAAAATTATTTACATTTTGTCCAGGAAAGTAAGAGATAAATTCAGCCATCCTTTACACCATAAGGAGACACCCATTTGAGACCACGCCCTACCACCCTATCACCCTGAGAGGCACCTTTTCAGAATGGGAGCTGATTCTTATTAGACTACGGTTGAACCTCTCCACAACGGTCACCTTGGGGATAGAAGAAAGGAGCCGTTGTAGAGAGGTGGCCGTTAGTGAAGGTTCGACTGTACTAGCAGTCCATGAAGATTTTCGTGGTTGAGCCTGCTACTTGTCAGCGAATGAAGCAAAGGGTGATGTAGTTCACAGTCGGGTCGTCCGCTCTCCCCACCGTCCTGCCAAGGCAAGAATCGACTGACGTAAAGTTCCGGGCCTTGCGTGCTGGCATTGCTATTATTCACCAAGTACTGACAAATAAGGAAAGGAAGCATTCTTCTTCCGTCAAAAATATCCTTTTCCGTTCAAATTTTTGGACGACTGGTTTATAGCGTTTTTATGCAGAGTCTTTGACAGCCTCGACTTTCAACATACCTTCTTATAGTTCTTGCCAGTTTTCTGTAGTGACTTGTAAGTCTGTAAGTACTTTTCATGGTGCGCCTCTGCCATTTTTATTGTCCGCATTGCGGCGACGGCGCAAAGCTGGCCTGCATTACTCTTGACCACGTGATCAAACGAGGAGTGTTTACCAGACTCCCACTCCTCAAAATGTTCCTCCCACANATCCTTTTCCGTTCAAATTTTTGGACGACTGGTTTATAGCGTTTTTATGCAGAGTCTTTGACAGCCTCGACTTTCAACATACCTTCTTATAGTTCTTGCCAGTTTTCTGTAGTGACTTGTAAGTCTGTAAGTACTTTTCATGGTGCGCCTCTGCCATTTTTATTGTCCGCATTGCGGCGACGGCGCAAAGCTGGCCTGCATTACTCTTGACCACGTGATCAAACGAGGAGTGTTTACCAGACTCCCACTCCTCAAAATGTTCCTCCCACAGATCCTCTTCGTAAATGTTATCTCGCCCCAGAGCTAGAAGGGGATCGTGGTGCTCTCTTCTATTTAGCTGGCTAAGTTTTTCATTGAGGATATCCCGCGTCGTTTCGTCTTCCTGTGAAAGCAAGCAAAATATGTTGACATCTACTCAGATGAAAAGTAAAGGAGGATACTAAAGCTCCAAACAGACTCTAACCTGTTCACAGACCCTCTATTTTCTCTTCAAAGTCCGTCGAGCGCACGTGATAAAATATGAACCGCGGGAGATTTATTGACTGCCAGCGCAAGGGGGAAGGGGTGGGGGAAGAAGAAACTTATTTTTCTTTCTCGCGCTCCGCGCTGGAAAAGAACGAAAAGAAAACTAATACAACGTCTGTATACAGGCTAAACAGTCTCCTGCTAATCAAGGTGGTTAACTTGTAGTACTTGTGATCTGAATTTTGGCGGTTCCAGCCTCGCTAGGATTTTGTTAGTCACCTTCTATCCAGCTTACTGTAAAGCAAACACCCCTAAGGAAGCCGCAAGGATTAAGGGGGGGGGGAGGGGGAGGGAGGGGAGGAGAGGAACTGGGGGGAACATAAATTCAGGCTACATCCAGGTGTCTGAATGAATACTCGGAAATCGTTGAGGACACTTTAAAAAAAAGTTATCTGCCCTCCATTTGCAGGTACCCGAACCCTCCGCCGTCAATATTAATGTTATGACTTTGTTTTTGTAACTAGCAGGAGCCCAAAGGTCGAATCAAGGTGCGTTAGGTGCAGTCTAATTATATATTTAATGTCTCCACAAACGTCCGCGCAATTCAAAATGACAGTAGAACTTCTAGGCTCCTTTGTAATCACTTTCAAGGGCTTCAAGGTTCCTCAACCAGCCGAGGCTTTCTGTTTGAAACTTCGCTTATCTCATTCACCATTTCTCGCAGTCTAAACAGCAAACGGTAGGTTTCTTTCTCTTAAAAGTCACCGCTGCACGAACAAGCGCGAACCGCCGAAAGAAGTTAAGTGGTGAAACGAAACGTATATTTTAGCGTTTCTCCCCGATACCTTATCGCTCTCCCTTTTCCTCGCTCCAGAATTTATGTTTCACGAAAACTAGCAACAACAACAACAACCAACCATTTTATTTGCCAACTGAAAAAACGTTTACCAAAAACACAATAAATCAAAATAGATCAGGCAAAAAAATACTCAGAATAGCA